CCCCCCATCCTACCTCATGTCTGATGAAAAAACAGGAAGGCTTTGTGTGGTTCATTAAGTCAGCATAGGAAATGTATTAAGTAGGGGAACATGGCTGGGAGCTGTGGAGTGTTGACTTAACCTTTCCAGTTTGTTTCCCCCTTTCCTCCAGTGATACTTTTAATAGAGGACGCACGCAGTACTCACTCTCACCAGTAACCACATGTATCATTTGGAATGAGATATCATTTTTTAATGATAGTGGTTTGGACTGGTAGCAGTTGCATCTATTCTTAGGCTGAAGTTCTTTGTCTTCAAATAATAAAGAGTTATTTTGGCCACTGATTGGTCACAATATAAATGTGCTGAAGTGCTTGTTACTGCATGATTTTATTAGAGGCATTGTGACGTGATTTTAAATCATAAGATCGCACGTAAACTGAAGAACAAGTAAACAAGTTAAAATTCTCAATGAGGTGTTTATTTTTATTTTCTTTTAATCTGGAATGATGGCAGTTAATGTGGCCAAAGAAATACAGAAATATTCTGCCAGCATATTTAGCTTTTTTTATTTTATTTTATTTTATAGTTTTTGGAAAATTAAAAAGGACAACAGAAAAAGCTTTGAGTCATTTAAGCTTTCCCTAAATTACCATCCAAATCTATACAGTTTGACGTCATGGAAAAAAAAAAAGACAGTAAATGCCTAACTCGACAAACCATACCAGTAATTTCCTGTAAAAGAGACACTCCTTAAACATTTAATTATAGAATCACCATTTGACACAGATGAACTGCAGAAAACAAACCTTGTTACAATGCTATTAGTAGCACAGACTAAACAACGTCAGGTAATGGTTTAATATTACAGGCTGTCATATGGAGTGTGAAGGGAAGGGCACTGTGGTCAGTCTGTCATTACAATTAGTGTTCATTTGGGCCTGATTCAGGGAGATCTTCACTGACTTCTGGACATGCATTATGTATGAGTCTGTCCATATGCACTTGGGCCATCACGTATGCCCTTGCAGAACTGCACCGACCACCAGCATTTACATTTACATTTACAGTTTTTCTGTGCACGTGCGTCTGTACGGGGTTGGACAGTAAAACAGTTTGAGTTCAGCCTCGTTGCTGCAAAGTTGACAGTGGTCACAGTATTTGTAGTACTGTTTTTCACAAATTGCAGTGGAGAAAAACATAAACGACCGAGACAAACTGAGGAGAAAAAAATATTGTGGGAAAAACACTTGGTTTGTCTCTACATGTTCGTTAGTTAGTATTTAGTTTAATTCATGTTAATGCCTTTTGAACTATGTCATCCTGATTCTTTCACTTATCTAACGACTGGAATAAATAATAATAATAATAATAATAATAATAATAATAATAAATATTGTAGAGATTGATCAAATTAAATGTAACACAGTGAAATGCTTTACACAGACAAAATGATAAAACATGTCCAGATTGTTTGAGATTTCTGAATGACCTCTATGAACATGTTTTAATTATTCAAATCAGATACCTCTACGAACTTTTTGACTTAGTCCCATATTTGTTCAGATGTCTATTTCAGGACACAATGGATATCCATCAGCTTTTTTTTGTTGACATTTTCATTAATAATTACTTAATTAAAGTCTTTCAGGAATGATACATTTTCATACATGTTTCATGACTGTGACATTTTTCACTTTAACAAAGAATAGCTGAGAATGGAACTGATTTCAAGGTAAATATTGACACGTTGAGATTTGAGAGAAACACTACTATTTTAAAGTATCAAAAAAGTTGGCAACAGTAGAAGTTAGGGTCAGATTTTAATCACCTGGTGGCGCAGGGTTCATAAGAGTTTAACACCAGTCTGGGAAATTTTTTTAGGCTGAATGTCCAACAAGTTATCCCATAGTGTCCTGAGTAGCTGTCAGGGATATGCTTGACATGACCACTTGTCACAACAGAGATTATAATGAATATTAGTGTGTGTGCGTGTGTGTGAATGTGTGTGTGAGGGAGAGAGAAAGGGGGGAAGACAGGGGGAGAGCTCTCGCCTCTGGGTATTTTAAAATGGCACTTTCCGAGTCTTGGACCTTGACTACTGAGTCCACTTTTATCTCTGTGGTGAATCTCAGATGGCTGATGTTGATCTTCTGCCTCACGCGGCTCTTTAGCGCCCCTTGGAGAGAAAGCGCGTAATCGCAGAAGGGTCTCATGGGAAGGAAAAGCTACTCAGGTTTTAGACTCTGAAAAGATGTGCCAAAATGAAAAGTCACACCACTAAAAACACTGAGAAAATGTACATGGCATGACTCGGTGGTATCAAGGCTAAAAAAACAAACTTAATTTGCATTACTAGACCTCGCCCTTTCTCCCTGACCCAGAGGGAGGAGGGGGCGACGCTAATTTCTGTTTATACCAGAGATAACTAGTGATGGTTGAGCTGCTGATCTAATAAGGCTTAAAACAATTTCTCTAACACCATCACTTACCCATCATTCCAGCCACCGTCATTCAATTAAAATGCAATTCTCGTCCTCGGATATTTAATTAGACTGCTGAGCAGGGTTTCCACACTCGTCTCTTTTTTCTCTCTACAACAGCTCTTCGGATTTCACCTCTAAGGCATATTTTTTCACTCTGTAACTCGTTGGTTAAACGAGGGCATGTATCCATTTGTTAATTGATACAATTACGCATTACGCGTAATGGTCACGTAGGTCTCCCGGCGCGCATCAATCACTGGTCTATTGACCTGCCAAACCCCCTCCAACCGGGGCTGCTACAGGACTGGGCCTTTCTCTAATAGAGAGAGATAGGAACATCATGGTAATTAACTTCTGCATGGACCCCTGGCCAGAGAGCCAGAGGCAAAGGGACGACTTGAAATCAAAAATAATCTGATCAGAAATGCATCTCCACACTGCTTTATAATTCAGATCAGGACAGTAGGGGTGATAAAAGAAACACATTTTATTGGCAGACTTTTTTTCTTCTCAGTTTACACCTGTGACGAATTTAAAATATCTATTTTATTTAACTTTACAAAAGACTTCCCCATGTTATCATCACTATATTTCTACAACAACAATAATAATAATAATTTGTGTTAAAGTGGGACAGAACTGTGTGCAGTGCACCTTAAGAAAACCCCGCTGTTGGACGTGATTGGCAAACACATTATTCCATCCTTGGTACCCAGTCGTTCCGGGATTACAGTGACGTCACGCTGATACCCTCGCATGGATGAATGCTAAAGAACTATGGAGCCACAAATAATAGCACAAGCAGAGTCCATATCTTCCAAGTCTTACGTTATCCTTTAAGCCTCCTCCAGCTAACACAACAACATTTTTTTGCACTTAATGACGCTTAATTTCATTTCTTATCAGGTCCTTAGGGGGGATTATTCATTCATATAAAACAATCTGCAGCTGCTGCCAGCACCAGGTCTCCCTCCTGTGAGTGAAGTAATCTATTATTGAGAGAAAGGCCGTGCGTAGAAATGTGTGCAAGACGCTGGATTTGAAGTAGAATTGGTTGCAATCGATCAAGGGTGAAGAATATTGCTGATGGGAACAAAAGAAGCAGCTATGTCTTTCTCGCAGTTTGGATATCCTTACAATGCAACATCCCAGGTAAGACCTCGCACTTTTGGATGTTTCTCCAAAGTTTGCTCTGTTTGCAAAGATCGTTCCAGGCTATTTTTTGTTGTATTTGTCGCTGCCGCGTGTAAGGAGAAACATGTGAATGACGGCCGGCTGTGACAATATTGACAGCTATTCTTCTGCGGCGCTTTTGTTGTTGAGCCAAACATCCATAAACACGCAGCCGTGTCCAATTACACTGAATTATGAATGATCTCACGTGTGTTTCTGATGACAATACGGGCGAATGTCGCCAACTGCGCTCTGGGTGCAACTGTAAACTTTTTTTAAATTAAAGTATTGTAACGTTGAGCTGTTAAATATCAGTTTATGTCATTAATTAAAGTTTTTTATTCGAGCTAAAATATATATGTTTGTTTGAATCCATATACTCCCAAAAGTGAAAATCGAATTTTTTAAACCTGACCATTTATCACCTTCGTCTCCGTGTGTTAAAGTTTTTTTTTTTTTGTTTTTTTTTTTAAAGTCAAATCGTTGCTTCTTTGGGTCATAAAACACTGTTGGAGCTGTTTCAAAGTTGTTGTTTTTTCGGTTGAACATATTTTCAGCCATGTTTATTTTGTTTGGTGCAAAGTGCAAAAACTGAGTTGGATTTAAGGAGCGTTCATCCTCCGAGTCAAAAAAATGTTGGAAAAACATTTTTTATTTAAATTCAGTAGTATATCGATTTATTAAAAACTGAGAGGACATGCCGGTAATGCTGGTTTGTTTCAAACTTTTTTATAGTCGGTGATAAGATGGAGAGAGTCACTTTTACGCACGGGTTACGCACAGCTTTTTCTGTCTTAATACTGACGTTATAACTGTGTAAAATACAATGGTGAGGAATGTCAAATAACCACTTATTAAAACACAAAAAATGGAAGGTGACATGAGATCGCTAATTGTACTTTTCTCAACATTACGCGGCACTTCTACGTCTCTCTTAATCCAAAAAGGTGACTTACCTGGAATTAAGGCAGTTCACAACTCAGGATGAAATCACTTGTATTAAGTTTATTACAACAAACAAAATCTGTTTTTTTTTACCCAGCATTAAAACGCGCAACTTCTAAATGTATATTTGTGCAGCGCAGCACTTCACAGCTGCCACAGTAATCCAAACTATAAAAGTCAGAACCAGCCAGTGACCCTGTCTGTCTGTCCACGGTTCTCTTCATGCAGTTTTTCGTGTCGGCAAACCCCAGTACGACTTGCTGCGATTCGATTTCCAGGTCGGTGTCTGACGGGACAGGCGGCTCCCAGACCGCCCC